CCCCAAAACCCCAAAACCCCAAAACCCCAAAACCCCTAAGAAATTCTCATAAATTGATTTTTAAAAATTCAAAATGATAACGTTGAAGGTCACTAAATTACAAAAAGAACAAAAGAAGATACCTAAAAACCGGTCTATAAAGAAAATGTCTGTAAACAAGGTGTACTCCTCCAAGGTTAAAGGAAGTAACTTCCCTTGCACCTAATAGGGTGCATACAGAGTCCTTGCAGACTCTTAATAATCCTTCATTATGAGGCAAGACTCTTAGTTCATATAGGAAGAGTGACCTCTATGATTCTAGTGTAAGTGCAGAGTTTATTGTAAATAGTTCTACGAGACAGCCAAGATAGTTGAGTCTAGCCATAAAAGAACTCTCCCTGGCCTCAAGCATTTCATGTCAAATGTGGACAAAGGACAAATTAAGAAGTTTAAATATAAACTGAAGGGTCCATATATGGCTAAATCTGGAGATACCAAGAATAAGTGGTATGACAACCAAAAGCACAGAAATCCAGCCAAGTCCTTAATGACTAAATCGAGAAATAAATAAAGATAACATTAGTAGCCATCACTACTGAGAAATTAGTGTGGAAAGGTATAAGTCTAGAGGTTATGCCGCTAGAAATTCGTTGTTAGAGAAAGAAAATGCAGCTGTTTCCCCAATTTCTAAGAGCACTATGGCCTTGAAAAGATATACTCGTTCTTTTTCAAAAGAAAATCAGGGAATTTGATCGTTATACAAAAAGATACAGCAGTGAGAATCTGAACTTCCTTCAAACTCAGAGACTGTTGATAATAGGCAATCAAAACTAGCTCTTAGAGAGCTTCAACCAGTCATGATGACTAATAAAGATGCAGCAGATGAAAATTCAAGAAACAGAAGGTATTCTGTCATTTATCTGTAGGGCAATAAAATACTCAAAGCCACCACTCCAAAGCTGAATTCGTACAGAGAATACCTCTAGACAAGTAAGTTTTGTGTTATAAGCCATAGAATTCTCGAAGTGAGTCTCTAGTAATATTTCTCTAGCCTAGCTCTATAAAACGATCCAGAATTCTGAAGCACAAAACTCTGAATGAATTAAAATAGCAAACCAATTGTAAAACCAATGCATGATATCCGTGCAAATTCTTCTCTTCATAAATGGTTGACGAAGAGGAACTCTCCTACCTCAAATAGCCCATGAGGAGAGGAAAATTTGTTTCATAGAGCAATGAATTCCAGCATTTCTCAAAACTTTAACCCTTCAGGTACTCTAGTAATTACTAATCTTCTAGATCTATCATGAAAGCAGACATCTGGGTACTTAAAGACTTTCAAGAAGAAGGTAAAGAAACTCAGAAATGCTTGTAAAATGAGTGTCAGGCACAATCAAGAGAGCAACTTAAAGAGGCTCACATATGACAACTTGAATAGCCTCAAAACTTCGGTTCTTACAGAAAGCGTGACCAACTCCTTAGCAAATACTAAAGCAACTGGGAATCTAAATACCCAGCCTGGCATCAATTTACTTCATTATAAGGATGAAAATATGGAGATTCAGCCGATCAGTGAGATTTTTGAAGAGGAAAATAAAGAAAACAAAGAAAATAAAGAACACAGTGCTTTCTCACAAAGTAGCTTACATGAGCATAGAGCCTTAGGGGGCTACAAAAGCTCAGGCCAATTCGCTCAGCTTTCTCAAAGCCCCAAAAACTATGCCGATATCTTTAAGAAAGTAAGTTCGGATGACTCTCACCTGGTATCGTCACATAAAAGCAGCTATGATCAGAATTTCTCGATTAAAATGAGTGAGACAGAATCTAGAAGGCTAGAGAACCTCAAGGATTCCTCTACAACTGAGAGGTTACAGTCAACTAACATATCTATTGATCCTAATTCCTATGACGAGGAGGTAAAGATGATTAATTTCCTTCCCAAAATCAAAGGAAACCAGTGCGGTTGCAAACTTTCCAGTGTTTCTACACTGAAATGTTGAGCAAGCATGCAGAAATGGCTCTCTGTCTGATTTTTAGAAGAAGAAGATGAAGCATTTAACCCAAGAAACCATCCGGAATTTAATAAATTACTTGACTTCTTCTACCGAACAAAAGTTGATGAAAAGTTATGAAATCAGGACTCTCAGCTTTATAAGGATCTGAATAGAACATTCCAGGTGTTGCATTACTTCAGAGAAGGTGAGAGAGGGTTTTCTGATACTAAATAAGCTACTGTTAAAATTCTTAGCACATCCCATATCGAAGGAAAGTGGATATGTGCAAGGGATGAACTTCATCGCTTCAACACTTCTCTACCACAGTCAAGCAGATGTTGCATTCTGCTTGTTTATAAAGATGTTTGAGAAACATAATATTATACACAACTATGAGCCAGGAATGCCTGGGATTACAGATCATTCCTTCCTCCTTGAAAAGATGGTTTCAAAGCACTGCAGAACTCTTTCTAATTACTTCCGTGAGCAAGCAATTCCCGTACAAATGTACACAATAGAGCTGATTTGAGGGCTTTTTGGAGGTAAAATCCCTATTGAAAAGATGAAGCTGTTTTATGATCACTTTATTCCAAAAGGCTGGCCATTCTTCTACGCACTTGTAAGAAAATATTTTAATCAAATAGGTAGTCCAATTCTTAGAAGAAATTCAGTTTGATATTATGGAGGAGGAAGAACTGACACCTCAAGCAGCCAATGCTCATAATGCCCCTAACCTAAAGTGGAACCAGCTTATTAGCAAAGCGGTTGATTTTGAATTCAGTAATAACTCTTTCAATTAATATGTTAAAATATGGGGTTTTGGGGTTTTGGGGTTTTGGGGTTTTGGGG